ACCATTCCCTGTTTAGGTAAATTTTAGTAAAGAAGGGGAAGAATTTATCTAAAATTTTTTTAAAAATTTTTTTTTTTTTTTTTTTTTTTTTTTTTTAAACAACACCTCAATTGTTTTTGTTACATATCAAGTCAGAAAAGGAGCATTTTTAATGTTTTTCCATGTGTCGTTTTGTTCTGTCAGGAAATGGCTACGGGAACCACCGCAACTCTCCTGGCCTGCTAGTTTCCTCAGGTGGAATGAACAAGAACATGCAGGCAAAGTCCCCCCCACCCATGAACCTGGGCATGAACAACCGCAAACCTGACCTACGCGTGCTCATCCCCCCTGGGGCCAAGAACAACATGCCCTCCATTGTGAGTAATCTCTGCATCCTTCATTTGACATCCTTTTTCTCCTCATCTGCTTTCCCCATTGTCTGTGATATGACCTGTATCTGGGTCTCTTATTGTTTATTTTCTTTTTCTTTCTCTCACTGCTGCTTTTATCTCTTTGTATCAGACTTGGGTTGATTGATTCATTGTTATGGGAACAGGGTTTCTGCAAAGAGCTAAAAAAAAAAAAGTCCTAAACAAGTCTTAAACCACTTCAGGGCCTAAACTGTCCTAAATACATCCAGATTTTCTGAACAAAATCTTAAAATACGTTTGGAAATCTGTAAAATTTATATGTACGCTTGTTTTTTTCTTTTGTCTCTTCCATTGATTTTTGTATATTTCTTGTTTTTGTTTTTTTTTGTCTTTTTTATTTTTGTGCTTTTTCACAGAAAATTACTGCTGTCTGCATAGTTCGTTGAATCTGTTCTTAGAAAGTAAATAATTAATTTAACTTGTTTTTCATATACCTTCATTTTAAATAATGAGTCTCTAGAAAATGTCTCAAAAGGAATTTACCTCCTGAAGTTTGCAGAAATCCTGTTCAAAACAATATCTTTTCCTTTTTGACAAATCTTTTCAAAAACTTTGTCTTGGCCCAAGGCTGATATTTTGTCAGAGACCCACCATAGATTCTGCTGTGTCTCTCTGCGCTGGCATTTAAACTGTGTGATCTGGCAGTTTTGCCTCATCCACTTTCAGTCTGTTTTTAGTTTTAGTTAGTACAGGTACTAAATCAGTACTCAATTAGTTACATCCCTACGAGCTCCCTTAATGTGCTCAGTCATATGCACTAATTTTAATGTATTACCCTCCCCTTTCAATGCCATCAGTCTGAGGATGTTGACCTGCTGTTGGTAAGTCAGACTGCCACTCAAATTTAGAAAACGAGACAACCTCAAAGTAGTCAAAACCTTTGTTTTATTATAACAAACCACCTCTGTAGTTCGAGTGGGCACATTGTGCCTTAGAATCCCAACAGCTGTACCTTTTTATTGTGGGATATGTTTTTCTTTTCTTTGTTTAAGAAGAGCAACTCCTAACTTATAATGGCCAACTTCCCTTCCCCCCCCCCCGTTTCTGCTGATGACATATTGCGAGGGTGCATAGTGCCATCCAGTGGCGTGTCTAAGTAAAAACAACCCAACCACTTTACTGCCACAAGCCCAGCTGCATCTCCTCCTCCCTTCACTCTTCATGCGTTTCTTTTTCTAGCTTCCAGAGGGTTAAAAACACCTTCCATGCAGATCTTAAACCTCTAAATGTCCACACAAAAACCACCAGACACTTTCTGTTTTTTTGGGGGGGGTGGTTTTCATCAAACCTCTATTGTTTTCTCCATCTCCCTCCATGAAAGGCTTTCCCTTGCAGTTGGCACCATACGTTGCTATGGAAACCCATGGTGTTACTATAGCGACAGCAGCCCCTTGTAAAATAAAAAAAAGAGAGGTAAATGATGGGGTTGGCAGAGTTCAACCGAGCCTCTTGTCAAGTGATTAATTTCCCCTGAAGTTGGTACCACATCTGATCTCTCAGCATCTGCTGGCATAGAGAAAGAAATTACACATGATAAAATGTTGGCTACCTTTTTTTTTTTTTTTTTTCCTTTGTTTCCCGCAGAAGTTTGGTTCATGTTCTCAAGCTTCTCTTATGTCTTGTTTCTTTTTCTCTTTCTTTCACAGAACCAGAGAATTAACAACTCGCAGTCTGCTCAGTCGCTGGCCACTCCTGTGGTTTCAGTAGCAACTCCCACTCTACCAGGACAAGGCATGGGCGGCTACCCATCTGCCATCTCTACCTCTTATGGTACCGGTACGTACTTCAGCGTGTTCCCTCTCCTCTCCTCTTCTGTTTTGTTTTTTTTTCCAGTAACATTATTTAATGATGCTTATTTTACATTATTAACATAACTTAAGTTACTTTACACTTTAGTCAAACGACTCAAATTTAACAACAGAAGCTTTATATAAAACTCCTGAGAATGGACAACTCAGGAGTGTGTATATGTATTTATGTATGAGGTGTAATTTCTATCCAGGGTTTAATTCAGGTCAATCTGGTGCTGAATCGGGTACAGTCGTACCATGATCATTAGAGCAAGGAAGTGTGGGCATGTGTCGGAAAGTCAAATCAGCATCTCTTAAACAATTCTCAACAGAACTCAATAAAGTTCTCACTGAACCAATAGCAGTATTTGACATCTCTATACATCATTATTACTTCCCCTTTGACCTCTGACATGCAGCAGTATGTCTCTTCACTTTTCCTTCAGAGTGCATTGCTGTGATTTTCCAAATAAAATTAAGAATTTTCTTGCATCTGAAAAGAGCCACTGAGCAACAGGCCAGCACTTCTTCTCCCTAGTAAAATGATTCTGACAACTTTGCTAAGGAGTGCTGTTGCCCATGTATACACCTGTGTCCACACTTTGTTAATCTCCCCCAAATTTGAAAGGTCTTTGGTCCAGTATGTTGCGTGTGTACCTTTTTCTGGTCGTATTCCTTCCATTCTACCTCCTCTTCATATGCCTGGATACACTATTTGAACAGCCAGCTTCATTAGTAATGACCGTTTGTAGTTTACCTTCCATGTGGATGGCATAAGTGAAAGCCTGTTGGGCAGCTGTCAGTCAGTAGGATTGTGCAGACATAACCTTTTAAAAATAAAAAAGCATTTTTCGTTCATTTTATGTAATATTATCATTTTCTGGGAACCAAGTTTTCATAAGTTATGAGCCACATTTACTAATATAACCAGAAATAATATTCTGAAATGCACCAATGTGTTTAATGTGTATATGTATATGGCATGTGATTCCTATTTTTAGAATTGCATAATAAAAAAAAAATAATATTTGCATTTTCAGAACTAAGTTACACTTCTGAGGCTCTCCAAATGTTCAGCTGTAATATAACCTTTTAACAGCAGAGGGTGCTATAGCACTACTAACCGTCAGGGAATAGGATTCACGCATTCTACCGGAGCTGTTCACTTTTTGCAACTTTAAGCTTTTGTAGTCTTCATCCTACTCTTTCTTTTCTCCCTCGTATGTTCATGTGCAGAGTATTCCCTGAACAGCGCAGACCTGTCCTCGTTGTCTGGCTTCAACAGTGGCAGCTCCCTGCACCTCGGCTCCATGAGTGGCTGGCAGCAGCAACATCTTCAGAACATGCAGCATTCGGCCCTCAGCCAGCTCGGGTGAGTGCAGGAAACTTACTCTTTAGGTGTTTGTGTTGTTGGGGAAAATGCATGATAACACATAGATAATTAACAGAGATCTTTGGTTGAGTTGCCACGCTAAGACTTCTTCACTGTTCTACATCTTCACTTGTTAGGTCAAACACTAAATGACACCTCACTGTTTTCACATGTGTGTGCGCGCGCGGGAGAGCTGACTGCATGCTTGTGTGTACAGAGTTGACTTTACAATCACCTTGTCTCTTGCTCTGTAATTCTGTAACCCCTTTGCCTTTCCTTTTTCCTTCCAACAGAAATTGCTCTAGCTCTCACTTATGTCAGGGTTCAAATCTATCCCTGCCCTCTGCTCAAAGCCTGCACATCAAGTCCGAACCTGTTTCTCCTCCTAGAGATCGCACCAGCAGCACACCAGGGGGCTACGGCGGCGGGGTGCCACCCAGTCAGAACCCCCAGTCCCGCCAGGACTCGGGACGCTCCCCCGTCGATAGCCTGAGCAGTTGTAGCAGCTCCCACGAGGGCAGTGACCGCGACGAGCACAGGAACGAGTTCCACTCGCCCCTAGGACTGGCCCGGCCTGCCCTGGACGAGCGAGAGAGCCCCTCCATCAAACGGGTGCGGTTGTCAGAGGGATGGGCGACATGATAGCTCTGCCGACACTCCTGGCTGTGCCCCAAGTTGCCCGGAGACCCTGACAATGCAGCATTTCGATGCCCCCAAAGTCAGCTCCCATCTCCTTGTCACGCACCACCCGATCCCACAGCCTCTCTCCTTTTATCTCTTTAAAGATGAAGGAAAGAAAAGGGACAACCCTTTTCAAAAAATGTTTTGTAATTTCTTTTTTCTTTTTAATTATTATTATTTACTTCTTTTTGTTGAGTGTGTGCGCGTGTGTGCGTATGTGTGTGTGTGTGCTTTACTTATTGACATTATATAAACCAGTGAGGGTGTTGTAATGGGCTTTTGGGGGGCGGGAGGGTGTTGGTTTGGATGGGGGATTTTTGCTGGGGAACTATGCATAAAATGTATTGAGTGTGGATAAAAGAATCACATGCATATATCTCTACACGTATTTATGTGTACATATATGCATATCATCATATAAAAAGAAGTAGTCAGGTACTCCGTCTCATAAAACAACGTACTTACAATTTGCCTCAGTGATGTATCATTAACTAGAAACAAAAGAATTAATTAAAAAAAAACAAACAAAAAAAAAAAACAATAACATGAGAGTGAGTGTGTCCAGTGGGAGGGGGGGGGAAAAAAAAAAAAAAAAACACCTTGCACTTGAGTTGGACAAAAAGTACGTGTGTACAGTATCAGTTTCATTGCTTATATTCCTTCTCCGCAGTCCTCCCTTGCAAAAACGTGTTAACATTAGATGATGTCATGTTGCAGGTTCAACGTATTTATGTAAATAGTGGATTAACAGGTGTGGGGGTGAGGGGGGGGTTGTTGCAGGCAAGGGGTTAAAAAGTTGCCAGACATTTCAAGATTTATGAACTCAATAAATGAAAAAGCTATTATGCAACATTTGAAGGATTGTACAGGTAAACATGCAGGAACCCAATGCTAGGTGTTGATTTGTTTTTGTTTTGGACTCCGGTTAGAGGACGGAGTGAGGACCATCCTTCGATCTAAGAGCTGCATTGGTGTAATCATGAAAACTCGGGTTCTAGTATTAACTTCTCAGTATTGATGAACAAAAAGAAAAAAAAAATGACAAAAAAAACAACAATTGTACGATACACTTGCTTATATTTTCATATGAAAGGAATACAATGCAAAGCATTTTGTGGCTTTTTGTAGTTTCTATAAGCCAGAATGTGTTTTTGATAGCTTTGCTAATGAAAGAGGGATAGTTCACCCAGAGAAACAGAGAGGGATGGGGGAAGCGGGGGGATGACTGGGCTTTCACGCCCTAAGCCATGAAAAACAGATTGAGATCAAATGCTTTGCTGAACTGTTTTATCTTTGTAGAGGTTTGTTTTTAAACGTGTATTTCTAATTATTATATATAATAATGGTAATATTAAGAATCTTTAAAAAAAAAAAATCTGTGAAATTAACATGCTTGTGTATAGCTTTCTAATATATGAATATATATAATGATTTTTTTTTTTTTTTGGTTTCTTAGTGAAGTTTCTATGTGCAGTTGCACATGTTGTCTGGTTTTTGTTTCATTTGAACTCTGAACAGTGCTGTTGAAGGGGGTTGTATTTAGACTAACTTTAGAAACCAGCTGGATTTGTGCAACACAGAGGAGATGGGGCCTGAATGCTGACAAAACAAAACAAAACAAATAGAATCACAAAAACAGTGTGCTTGTGGAAAACGTCCGGAGACTGAAACAGGAGATGAAGAGAAATAAAAGGCTCGATGTATTCTGCTCATCTCACACACCAAGAAATATGATGGGAATCTGGTTGCATTTGTATAAATTTAGATGAATCACAGGGATTTAAAAACGATCAAATTTAATCCCAATAATCTCATAAAGCAGTTTTTTTTTTGTTTTTTTTTTACATTATACTAAAATCTCAGGTCTTCTCCAATCTTTAATGTGTTTTCTAGATGCTTGACAAAGCTCACCCGAACTGTACTGTTTCCTTTCGAATCATATTTACCTAATTCAACTTTGCAAATGCATCATGATGAATTCCCATTGATCATCATTATTATTTACCAACCTAAGCTGATTCGTCCCCTTGCGGTCTCCGCTCATGTTCCAGTCTTCAAAACGCATTTCCACTTGAGGCCACTGACAGTTCAGCAAAAAGGAAGAAACTGATCATGCTGGTATATGGGAAAAGCACAATTTGTTAATTTTAGATAAATAGTTGTTTTGGACTTTTTTTTTCTTCTTTTGTTTTTAAACAATGAAACTAGCCACATATCTCTCTCTGCCTCCCACTCCCGTATCTGCTGTCACTTAAGTGTTATACTATTTCTGTGCGCATATTTCATGCAGGTTCACAATGTTGTTACTGTATACAGTCTGTGTAGTCAAACGGGGCAGAGCCTCTGTAACGGTGTTCTTTCTTTTATTTTTCAAAACTTCAATACAAAAAAAAAAAAAACAAACAAAAAAAAAATACAGTTGGAAAAATAAATAAATATGATGTTTCAGGCAGCATAAAGTGTGGAGAAACCAAAGCCAGTGGCATTTCTGTATTGTAAAATCAACTTTTATTTTCACATCCATTATGTTTTTTTTTTTTTTTGCAAGCATTGAAAAAAAGATAATAAAAGAATTTGCTCAAATGTACAATTGCTTTTTTCACATTTCAAACACAGTTAGTCGGGTGTAGCTTCAGTTTTTTTTTTTTTAATCTGCTTGAACAGTTTCTCTGTTTGATCGCTCTTCTTTTCTTTCCTCTCCCTGTGTATTGCATTGCAAAAGGTTCATATTAGCAAAAAAAAAAAATTGGGTTTTTGCTCAGAACCAAGAAATTCATCCAGACCTGTCACCGCTCCCTGCTCTAGTTTTAATTTTTTTTTTTTTTTTACCAAAGACAGAGAAAATTTGTAGTGTTGCCTTTTTATTTAAACACGTCTGGTATAAGTGTCGGTACCTCAAAATTGACCTAAGCAGTACCTCAGCTGTTTTTTGATAAAGTAACCTGCAGTGCAAAGGGGAGACCATACACCTGTACAGTCATGTGTATTAACTTACAAATGCTAAATGTCCTGGCATTTACACAGGACTCTTTGTTGCTCCACTGTGTTTGTGGTTTATTTAAGTTGTGCTCAAAAATTAAAAAAAAAAAAAAAATGAAAAGAAGATTTTTTAAAAAGTGTAATATGGTATAAAAAAAATAAAAATAAAAAATAGTTCAAAGTCAGTCTTTAGTATCAATGTAGCTTGTATAAACCTGAAGAAAATGGGAGAAAGTTTGGAAGTAATGTTTTTTTTTGTTTTGTTTTCGTTTTTTTTTTTTTTTTCCTGGAACGCAAGAGAGCGGCTTTCAGCGGCATAAGCTGGCCTTTGTCGCCACTTGAGACTAAGATGGTTTTAAATTAAATCACATCTCTGTAACTCAAGGGACTTGTTTCAGCTGTATGTAGTAAAATAAAATAAATAAAAAAAAATGTGTGGGGATGGAGTCCAAGTCTCCTCTGCTTGAGGGAAAGGCTATTTGTATTTTGCAGAGATTTCAGTAAAGTTACTGGCTTTCTTAGTTATCCTGATGTGACTCGGTGTGATTTTATTGTGTTGGATTTGTTTCTATACATGCTTGTCTAAACGGTTATTCATTCCATTTAGAAAAAAACCCACATCTATATGATAGTATTCTCTGGGATTTTCTGAATAACAATGTCGACTGCTTAACACTCAACAATGGAAAGAGAGACTGCACTTTTTTTTATTTAAACATACATTAAACAATTTAATGAAAATCTTATTTTTTTTCTCACACTTGTAATTACAGTGGTGATATATTTTATTAGTGAAAAAGGTTTCTGGCAAATCAGAGAACATACACGTGTTCCTCATCAGGCAGAAGAAACAGTACATGGAAAAAAAAAACAAAAAAACAAAAAAACAAAAACAAAACACAGTTTGTGCTGGCTCAAGCCACGATTGGCTCATTGGATTCTAAATAAAAATAATGAAAATAATAAAACATAAAAGATAACCAATTATACAGGGAAAATATATGTCATCTCAATATCTGTTCCCATTGTTTTTTGGTCATGCAAATGATTAACACATAGCTTTAACACATAGCTGAAAATAAAGCAATCAGTGAGGTTAGCTCATCTGGGTTCTTATTGTGGATATCTATAATTTTCACATCACTGCATTGCTCATTTGTGAGCTTGAAATATAGTAGGCATAATCCGGAGAGTTGCTTCATAATAATGTGATGACGTTACAAAGAAGTCCTTCAAGAAATAAAGTTTAAAGAAAGAAAACCAAATGAAAAGATGCATTGAGCCTTCAGCTCTCACTTTTCTCTCAATTCCCTAAAATCTATAATATCATATATATTAGGTGAACCTTTGGATGGTTAATATTAAATAGTGGTAAAACGCAAAATGCACATTTTATTTCAATCTTCATCACCACATGGAAACTCACAGCAAGCTGGTAGAGCTCATTTGGTCTTCAATATAGTCATAAGACAGTATAGGAAAAAAATAAAACTGCCAATATTCTTTTAAACGTTTATTCTTTTTCTTTCTTTTTTTGACTTGTACAAATTAAATAAATTCACAGGTTCCGCTGCTGCGGCTTTATTGTGAAAAATTTGCCATTTTGACGTCATTGCATGGCGCTTTTTGAGCTTACATTATAATGGGCCTAATAAAGAGAACTGCTGTGATGACGATGAAAGAACATACGAAAGGCAAGAAAAGACGTGTCTTTTCTTTTGATGAACAAAAAAAAAATAAATCATCAAAGGAGGACCCGTGCTAAATCGATAGTCATCTTTTCGTAATAGGTAAATAAAAAGATAATGAGCCTAGCTGAAAAGTAGCTTCGTTATGTTGACGTCACTGCATGCCGTATTTGTGATCTTACAATGCATTTGGGCCAATCAGGACAACTGATTAGATTGATGTGACGACCTTACAACTACGTCAGTGACCAAAAAAAAGGGGAAAACGTGAAACATTGGGAATAAAGACAAAAACAGAACAAAGATATGTTAGATCCTGTCTCTGTTTGTTCATCCCTTACCTTCAATTCCGTCTACGCTACAAGGAAACGACACTTGCTTGGAACATTATCGAAGTCTTTTTTTTTTTTTTTTTTCATTCTTTGCATACAAAAGGCAAAACGCAAAGTACAAAATGTTTCAGTTTCTATTCATCCTATTTGATGTCAAGTGAACTAATACATTGCAATTCATTGGAATTATCTCAGTTGTGTTATTAAATGCTATGAACCTGTTTTTTTAAAGGTAAAGATAATAATACATAACGTTACACATTGACTTTATGTGTTGATCGCTGGTGAATCCTTCTCGGTTTCCATTGGTCACATTACACCGCTGGAATGCTCTCAAAAATAACGCCGTGTCGCGTTTTATTTTGATTTTTCGAGTCTTTGCATTATAGATCGAACTTCAAATCGACCTACATAGTGCATGTAGCGCAGCAAAGATTTAGCTGGTGGCCTATTTGAGTTTCTCTTAAAATTATGTAAGCAACAAAAATGAGAAACAGAAAAAAAAATATCTAAATAATGTAAACATGAACAAAAAGTAAGTCGCTAAAAATCCACTAAGCTAAATATTGTAATCACAACAAATATTACTGACAAAATGATTGCATTAATTAATTTCAAGTGCAGTTTTAACGGATAGTTTATTGTCCCACGTCATATTTGCATGTAAATATGTGATGCAATGTGAAATAATCTCAACAGTCTGAACCCCATTGAAAACCTCCTGGTTATTCCACCAAATATTGATTTCTGAACTCTTCCTGAGTTAAAACACAAGTGTTGTTGTTTCTAATTGAATACAAACTTGTTTCCTTTGTATTATTTGATGTCTGAAAGCGCTGCATCTTTTTTCGTTATTTTGACCATTTCTCATTTTCTGCAAATAAATAATACATTTCTTTGCTTGGAATTTCGGAGACACGTCGTCAGTAGTTTGTAGAATAAAATAACAATGTCCGTTTTACTCAAACACATATAAAAAGTAAAATCAGATAAACTGATCATTTTAAGTGGTCTCTTAATTTTTTTTACAGAGCTGCGTATAATTCGCTGCT